CTGCCCTGCCCGTCACGCCCCGCCCCCCGCCTCTTGATTGACAGGCGGCGGGGAGGGACGCTGGCTCTAATGGCGTCCTAGTCCCAGCGCTTCGGACCTGTGGCGCCGCTTGCCTAGTGACTCCGGTCTCTGTGCTGCGCCCGCCCGGAGGCTTCCTCAGGAAACAAGTGGAGGCATTAGTAGAAACACGTGAACGCGTCGCTAAGTGCTTCCCTCTTCTAATCTCACGGCGCTACGTTATCTGTCCTGCACAGAGGAGGAAGTGGAGGGACACGGGGAAATCTACTCTCCCTCCCAAGCTCAGTGCATGATCCCCAGAGCCGAAGCTACAGCTCTGGCCCTTAAGTCGTCATTGGACTACCTCCCTAGTAAATGCCAGCTGAGTCGGGCATTTGGGGAGGATACTGTGACCCAGGCGCCACCACCTAGATACTTTAAGGAGGGAGGTGAGAGAGAGGCCAAAGAGATGACCAGTACAGGGATCCTGGCCGAAGTCCAAGGCGGGTGTTGGCACGCTTTTTCTGGAAGGTCCGCTAATAAATATCCACTTGGCATGTGCTAAATTGTGTGTTTCAATGTGTTAAGTAAGTGGGTGCGACCATGTGCAGTAAAAACTTGTCCCTGAGGAGCTGCATGACCCTGTAGTCCCAGCTACTGGAGAGGCTGGGGAGTGAGGATTGCTTGGAATGGCCATCTAGGGGCCAGCTTGGACAACAAGGCTGTAAAAATAAACCTTTGAACCCTGAAATTTAGATAGGGAGTAATTTTCACATGTCACAACATGGTCTTTGTATTTCTTTTTCTCTATTTATAAAAGCAACAGTGATCTGTTGAAAAACCCATACAAAACTGGCTGGATTTGAGTCCTAGACCACAGCTAGATGACCCATAACTCAAGGTGTCAAATGTGTAAATTGTCTTTACCAGGACTAGATACCGTCCAGGATTGTCTCAGGGTTATGCAATGAATCTGTATTAGAGGCCGGATCTCAGATGTTCTGGGCCAGATTACTGCTCTTCCTACTGCTGGACCCAGGGATATTCGCCTATAATTCCGGCTATTGGGGTGGATCAGGGGTTCAAGATATTTCTCTGCTTGCTACATAGTGAGTCTGTGGGCAGCCTGAGAGAGTTATACAAGACCCTGTCAAAAGGGAGGAAGAAGAGGAAGAGAGGAAATAAAAGAACATTCGAAGGTAAGGAAAATAGCTGCTGCTGCTGCTGCTGCTGCTGGTGGTGGCGGCGGCGGCGGCGGCGGCGGCGGCGGCGGCGGCGCACGCCTTTAATCCCAGCACTGGGGAGGCAGAGGCAGGCGGATCTCTGAGGAGGCAGGTGGATCTGAGTTCGAGTCCAGCCTGGTCTACAGAACAAGTTCCACAACAGCCAGTGCTACGCAGAGAAACCCTGTTCCAAATAAATAAATAAATAAATAAATAAATAAATAAATAAATAAATAAATAAATAAATAAAATGAATAAGAAAGTAAATTGAAAGGAAGACTTTATGAAAGAGAAACAGGAAGAGTGGCCGGGGGACTGGTTTTATCCTAACGATAAGGTAGCCTGGCTCTTAGATCGTTGCTAATGAATTAAAGCATTGACTGAGAAAGCAGAGAGCGGCAGACGAAGCAGGAAGAGCCGTGCTGTCCCAGATAAGGACAAAATGGAAAGGACAGACTCGCAGATAAGAACAAAGGCGGCGGCTCTTTAACAACAAGCAGATGAGTGTTGCTGGGAAGACAGGACCGCGTGCTGTAGGAGAAGGTGAAGACTACAGAAAAGGAACTGGAGAGACGCCTCCATGCTTAAGAGCATTGGCTGATGTGACTCTCAGCACCCACGTGGCACCTCACCACCATCTGTAACTCCAGTTCCAGAGGATCTGATGCCCTCTTCTTGCCTCCACAGGTATATATACATACATATGTGTGTGTGTGCAGACAAAACACTCATACACATAAAATAAAAACAAATGACAGATCTTTTAAAAAGTCCATTAAAGAAGACCAGGAAAGACTGGAGAGATGACACAATGGTTAAGAGCACTGACTGATCTTCCAGAGGACCCCAGTTCAATTCCCTGCACCCAAATGGTAGCTCATTACTGTCTATAACTCCAGTCCTGGGAATCTGATGGCCTCTTCTGGCTTTTGTGGGCACCAGGTACACATGTAGTGCACAGACAGACATGCAGGGAAAACACTCATTAAAATAAAATAAATAAATTTTAAATAAAATAAATGAATTTGAAAATAAAATTTTAAAAAATTAAAAAAAATAAATAAAAAGAGCCAGGGCCTACCAGGCAGTGGTGGTACATGCCCTTATTCTCAGCACTTGGGACACAGGCAGATCTCTGAGTTATAGGCCAGCCTGGTCTACAGATCTAGTTCTACAACAGCCCAAAAGCTCAAGTGAAAAAAAAAAGCAAAGACCTAAGAGTTCAGGATAAGGTGTATTGCCTTAGCCAGGCATGTTGACATACCTGTAATTCCAGTATTCAGAATGCCAAAGTAGAAGGATCAGTTGAGGCCAGCCTGGGCTGCATAGAATTCAAGGCTAGTCTGTCTGAACCACCCAGTAAATTCCTGTTTCAAACAGCCAAGAGTTATGCTACTAATGTAGCTCCGTGATAGAGGCTTGACTAGTGTCTTAATTACTGTTCTTTTGTTGTTGTTGTTGTTTTGTTTTTCGAGACAGGGTTTCTCTGTATAGCTTTGTTCCTTTCCTGGAACTCACTCTGTAGACCAGGCTGGCCTCGAACTCACAGAGATCGGCCTGCCTCTGCCTCCTGAGTGCTGGGATTAAAAGTATGCGCCACCACTGCCTGAAGCCCTGCTGTCCTTAACCTTACAGCATAAATTCCTGAAGAGTTTGTGGTCTTGTCCCTAGAAGTAAGAAAGGAAGAGAGTTCAGAGGCAGTAAGGACAGATGTCAGCTGGCCATAGGACAGGGCTTAGATTACGAGGATCCAGAGGCATCGATGGAATCAGTCTTCCCAAGGAAGTGGGACAAGCAGGGGAATGTATTGACACCAAAATGACAAGAGAAAGGGATTCTGAAGAGAAGGGGGACTGTGGGGGGCGGGGCACTGTGAGTTTAAATACCTCTAAGCACTGGGCACAGTTTAGTGACGACAGCACGAGCCCGGGATGTGTAAGGCCCTCGGTTTGGTTAACCCCCAGCACTGCAGAACAATAACCAGAAAGAGGAACTCCAGGGTGGCTCAGCAGTTAAAAGTGCATCCTGCTCTTGCAGAGGAACTGAGTTTGGTTCCCAGTGCCCATGTATGGTGGCTCCCCATTCTCTCGTTTCTCCAGGGGAAGCTGATGCCCTTAGCCTTCTCAGGGATTTTCACTCATGTTCAAATACCACACACAGATGCACAGTCTACACATAATTAAGAATAGTGACGATAATTAAAAAAAAAAAGTTGGTTATGATGGCACACACCTTTAATTGTAGCACTCAGGAGTCAAAGGCCAGTGGATTTCCGTGAGTTCATGGCCAGCTGATGTATATATATGGAGTTCCAGGGCAGCAAGGACTACATAGACCCTGTTTCAAAAACAACAAACAAACAAACAAACAACCCACCACCACCACCAAAAGGAAACATCTCTAAGCTATAGCTTCTCTCACTCTCTCTCTCTCTCTTTTAAGCAGCCCTGGCTGTCCTGAATCTCACTCTGTAGACCAGGCTGGCCTCGAACCCACAGAGAGCCACCTGCCTCTGCCTCCCGGCTACTTTCTCTTTTATTTATTTTTTTAATTTTAAACAACTGTGTCCGGTTTAATTACAAATAAGAAAAGGATCACCATGTGGCTACATCTCTTCATTCTCATGAATCTCCCCAACTCCCAGATCCTCTTGACCCTTTTTAGTTATGAATAAACATAGTTGCAAAGATGTTGATTATAATTCAGAGATACAAAACTTAGCACCTCTGTAATATTAAAATAAAAACAAAACAAAAACCAACCAAACGACTTGATTTTTTTTTTTTTTTTTTTTTGGTTTTTCGAGACAGGGTTTCTCTTATATAGCTTTGTGCCTTTCCTGGAATTCACTTGGTAGCCCAGGCTGGCCTCGAACTCACAGAGATCCGCCTGCCTCTGCCTCCCGAGTGCTGGGATTAAAGGCATGAGCCACCACCGCCCGGCACAACTTGATTTTTTTAAAAACCCAAAATACACATAGCTGCCTGAAGAGGAGATATTGATCCTTTCACTAAACATTCTTCTCATATCCAGAGGAGGCCATCTGGACAAAAGACAATTTTGTCCATTGTCATTACTCATTTCCTCTCCTGTTCTTCTTGTGGCTTTTCTCTGACCTTTTAGGAGACTTTTGAGTGACTCCTATGTCTGTGACTACGGTGGTGACCTGGGGATTTAGAGCGGGGTCTGTGTCATCTGTCTCGTGACCTGCTTTGATGGCGTCGTGGACTCTTGCTCCTATGGCTTTCTCGGCGTGGGGAAGGGCTTCTTCTTTTGGGGAATCTACTTCGCCTCCTGGGAGACCGACTCCGACTCCTCCTGTAGTGCAGTGCAGGAGAATGTCATGGCTTGTCCAAGTCTCAGTAGCTTCTTCGTCGATGGTCAGGTGATGGTACTCTTTCCAACTTCTCATCTTCCTCTTCCTCCTCTTCACTGGATTCCACGTCATCCATGTCCTCTTCTAGAGTACTAACT